TTATGTAATTAATTGCATCATTCGTAATTGTATAATATAGTTATTAATTACATAGCAAGTAATATGAGCTAATGACTGTGATCTTCCTGGTATAGTTTCACATACATTCTTCAAAAAGTATTCCATTTGTCGTAACCATCGCAAAAATATTTCAGTGTGTGCTAAGTTCCCACAAAAATTGAGATACATTCGTCGAATATAAATTGATTCAGATTTGAATAACTTTCAAATAAGGAACTGTCTGCATACTTAGTTTTATTTCTCACCGTGAATAGCGTTGAACTCCTATTCTACACTAAATCAATAATGTTGAAATGGCAAGGAGGTTTTCTACAGTCCCCAGAGTCTTTGGTCACAGATGAGGAATACCAGCACAGACGAGATATATGAATAGACCTTTCACGTAATGTAATTTTTCGGCCGGAGTTTCTGGGGTCCCGGGACCCCATTACCATTTTCGTGTCACTCGCAACGTTATCAACAGATTCAGAAATTAACACAAGAGGAAGTGAAACAGAAAATAAAATTACATAAATTTTATTATTTTTTAACGGAATTAAAGCTGTAGGGTCCATCATTGGACATTAATCGATTAATTTCATTGGAGAAATCAATCGATTAAGAGTATTTAAAAATTTCAAGATTATTAAAATTCCTAAGGATGTATTTCATTGATACGTACACCGCAAATTCTCTATTTTTTATTTTTTATTGTAATACATCATTTATTAAAAAAATAACTCGGCAGAAACGTATTTGCGACTCGAAATCAGTGTCATCAAACTGTGCATCGGGGCCCCGGAAACTCCTCATTCCTCACTTTCGCACACTATGCCCAATTGCGTGTACGTGAGCTCGTTGAGTTTCGGAAGAGCCGAGAAGAACAGGCTGATACTCGCTTTCCTTCTCGCTCTTGCATCACTGACGTCGCTTACATTTCTCGAAAGCAAGCCTGCTGGCATCGCCACCCGTTCGAATCGTCAGTAAACGACAAAAGCCATCGTGACTGACAGACCTTACATTTCTCGAAATCAGACCTGGGCGCTTTTTGAAGATTCATTGACTTTCCATACGAAGCGACCATGCGTTATATACATATACATGTTATACATGCTAGGAACTATAAGTTGTATAACTTTTGTCGTATATCTACTTTCTAATAACATGGGAAAATTTTAAAATATAAAAAAATGTAAGAATACTGTAGAATTTTTGCAATGGAGAATTATTGAAGGAAAATGAATTGATTATATACATATGTATATATCGGACACATCCCTCGCAAACACGCTGCAAACATTAATGAGAACAAAACTGCAAATCTGTCCTTTTTTAAAACCCCGCAACTGATCTTTGACTCGGAACTCGTCCTCTTCATTTAGCAATTATAATAAACGTAGACTCATTAAAATTCGTAAAAATAACGAAGTTATAGACATTTAGAGGGAAGAGTACCCAACGGTTAATAATCATACCAGAAATTTTAAATGAGTTTTTCTCGAAACCATATTTTCGAAATTGGCTGACATGATATCACAAATTCATATTGATTAATGGATTTGAAATTTATAGAGACATGCCTGTATGTTAGAAATTTTGCCTTTGACGGTTCTGGGGTAAGTCCTGTGCCGTTCCTCATAGTGCTCTTACCGGAAGGTCCCACGCCTTCCCCACTCCGTTGCCAGATCCTTCAGGACAAAGTCTTCATTTTTTCCAGCAGTACGACGTCAGGTCGTCTGCCTCTTTTAACTACTCTCTCTCTATTCATAAACAATCAATGCCTCGACACGCGCTACCTGGAGACCCAACGCGGTCGTCCGCTATCGCGTCACCCGTTGCCAGGCCTGTTTAGTCTCATTCGCTCTTTAGGCCACATGCACCCCAAAACTCTGTCATAAATGTATCGTAGACTGAGCGTCCTTCAGTGGTCCTTACATTCGACTCTCTTGGAAAATACATTGTCGCTAGCGTTTCTGGAAAACAAAAGCCGATCCCCTATTTCGGGGGAATGTCCACGCATCGCGTCCAACCATTGTTGCCGTGGCGAAATCGACTTTTTTGCCTTCGCCTTCGAAAAAGATTAAGTAAAAGAGTTTCCTTCATTGAAAGAACAAAAATTTTCCAGTCCTTTATTTTCAGTAGGGGCGGTGTCAACTTCCATTCATTTTCATATCGTAATTAATTTTATAAATGCCGCCGTCGGGCAGGTGTCGCCAGGTCCTGGCCGCGGAATTCCCTTCCGGCTACGCGCGGTGGCCGATTCGCGCGGTTCGGCAGAAGTCGTGAGGCAGGAGACTGGCGCGCCGGCTGTTGAAGGTTCACGAAATAAACTAGAAATTTTTATAGACTACATTCATATGATTGATTTTAATGAGTCAGCGTTTTTTTAAATTGCTAAACAAAGAGGACAAATAGGACAGTATTCTCAAATATTTTCAGATTTAAAAATTAAAAATTACAGTGAAATTTATTCGGTTGTTTAGACCCAATAGTATTAATAGTATAAATATATGAACGCACATTCATAAGCATAGTAAAAAAATGTCTTTTTTTTAATAGTTAAAATATGATCAAGGGGTCCTAAAACGTGTATTTCCGTAAACAAAATTTTTGTTTCATTATGGTATTTTGCTTATACATTGTATACGCCTACATAGGTCGGAAAGTCAAAAATGCCTGGGCAGTCGAGAATCTCGGCTCAAGATTATGCGAGATCAAATTTCGGCTGTGTTAAGAGCAAGAAGGATAGACTGACATTCGCCGCCTTTCTCGAATCCTCGAAGAGATACGAAACGCCAGAACTCATATACAAGGAGGTTGGCATTAGTATGTGTAAGTGGAGGGGCAGCTCCCTTTGGGCACGGGTCTGCCATCTGATAATACTGCACTGTCTTTTTCAATTCCCCCCATAGTCAACTCACATGTATTTACGCACACACTGCAGCTGGCTGCCTATCAATACTAATTCAGTGCCTAGTTTTTCAACTGACTGCCATCCATGAGAAGAGGCCGCTAAAATCACCTCCGAATTTTCAGGTCGGTATGGCAGTCAGATTCGGCCGCGACTGGCACAGACGAGATATATGAATAGACCTTTCACCTTATGGACTTTCGCGGCCGAATCTGACTGCCATACCGACCTGAAAATTCGGAGGTGATTTTAGCGGCCTCTTCTCATGGATGGTGATCACTTGAAAAACTATTCACTGAATTAGTATTGATAGGCAAACAGCTGCAGTTTTGCGTAAGTACATGTGAGTTGACTATGGAAGGGATTAAAATTCATTTCTGAATCTGTTGGTAACGTTGCGAATGACACGAAAATGATAATGGGGTTTCGAGACCCCATAAAAATGGGTCAAAAAAATACATTGGGTGAAAGATCTACTCGTATACCTTATCTCTGACAATACTCTAGAATCTTTGATGACTCAATGAGAATCAAAACTAACCTAGCGAAGAAGCTCTATATTTATGATGATCTATGCAAAGCGGATCGCAGTCAATTTGCTAATATTATTTAGTTTTTAATTAATAATTGCATTACCCAGCTAAGAGTGATACGATTATTAATTAAACGCTAAATAATATAACCCAGGTCTCACCACGTGGAGGTTGCTGCAAATGGAGACCCGCCCTAACTGATTCCCAACCACCCTCCATTAATAAAGATCTTCTGTGACCAGCGATCGTTGGTCGAAGAAAAAACAAACGAAAGTGCAACCAATGAATGATGCACAGCCAACGAAGAGAGTTGAAAGAGTTCTAAAACGAACTTGTCTTCAAACAAAAATAATCTGCCTAACATAATGTCTAACTATAAATCTAAATTCGTTTATTATATCAAGAAACAATTCTAAATTCGCAGCTATTAGCTCGGTGTTACCCACAATAGAAAAGCTTTTTTATCGTGGATAACACCGATTACCAGGTCTCACCACGTGGAGGTTGCTACGAGTGGAGACCCGAAGGGAAATAGATGGAATCAAAGTTCCATCGATCTCATCGATTTTACATTCTTACAAACTAGATTACTAAGCTAGAAATATAGAAGGAAGTGTGGGATCGGGAAGATAATGACTCCGCTCTGTTCCGTTCCGCACAATTTTATTGTTGCTGTCGTACAACGACGTGACTCGTGGTGCGGGTTACGCTCGACTCTCTGGTACGATCATCGCCACCGTACCAAGAGGCCTTCAAAAACAAAAGACGGTCAGAGACGACGACAACGGCTTTTCGGCTCACGCGGCTCTGGTCGTCTCGTGTGCAACCATCGTCTCGTGTGCAACCATACATTGTAGCGGCTTCGAACGGCTAAGGCGTATGTGGTGCCTTGGCCGCCACACTACCCCCCTGCCAGTAATTGGCACAATTACGAAAAATTGACCGACTACATTACCACTACCATTTACTCTATTATATAAAATACGTTATCCTAACTAAGATTTACATTACAGTATTTGAACAGAGTTGAAAAAAAAAGGAATTTACATGGAGTGTCGCGACCCGACTGTGATCGCGACCTCGCCACTCGCGACCGCGCGTGATTTTTCCTGGGCTCGGGGTCGTCACTCCCCAGCTTCCTTTACTGATTCGCGGCCGTACTGCGACGCGTTATCTTAAACAAATTAATTTTAATTATAACTGGTTCAAATTTTGATGGTGAATGTCTCGCTCTGTTTAGACTGACTGCCACGGGCGATCGGGGCCCTGCCTTTTATAGGTGCTTCCCGATCGTCATTTTTTCCGTCGAGCCGGGTGCAAAAATCCTCGCACGCGCGTGCCGCGGAACATTCTCGATCCTTCGAGAACGGTATTCCGCGACACGTGTCCGCTATCGATTTTTGCACCCGGCCCGATTCCTACAATCGGTTGGGGACGGCCCGACTTCTGGAATATTCGTTCGCGTCGGCCGGAACATGCTCCCCCCCGTTGATCGAGACGATTGATCAATGTAACTCGACGCTATTATATATCTATCCTAATTTTACGTATGAGTCCTATCTCGTGTCGCTGCACTGCTCATGAGCGTCCTGGGCAGGCAGGGGTGCCAGTTGCCGCACGTTCCGCTTGTAGGTCCCATGGCTGGTCCGAACAGTGACGGCTCGAATGACGCCATCCGATCCGGGATGAATCTGCTCCACGCGTGCGAGATGCCACGAGAGTGGTGGAAGGTGGTCCTCTTTTAAGACCACGACGGTGCCTTCTTTGATGCAATGTGAACCCCTTCTCCACTTGGACCGCACGTTCAGATGGTTGATGGACTCCTTCTGCCACCTGGCCCAGAAGTGCTGCTTCACACGTTGGATATGCTGCCAGTTAGATAATCTATTCGCTGGTGTAGCACTGAAATCAATCTCGGCAATGCTCGTTAACGAATCACCAATCAGAAAATGAGCTGGAGTTAATGCAGATGGGTCGTTAGGATCTGAGGAAAGTGGAGTCAAGGGCCGCGAATTGAGAATGGCTTCAATTTCAATCACGAAGGTGTTGAATTGTTCGAAAGTGAATAGCTCGTCACCGACTACGCGCTTGAGGTGGTGTTTGAATGACTTCACCGCGGCTTCCCAAAGTCCGCCGAAATGAGGTGATAACGCGGGTATGAAATGCCAGGTGATTTTTTTCCCGGTGAGAAAATTGCGAACGGTGTCGTCACCTTGAAGGATTTGGTGAATCTCGCGCAACTCGTTGTTAGCACCGATGAAGGTTGTTCCGTTATCAGAGTGCATGCTCTGACAGATTCCTCTGCGCGCGATGAATCTCTGCAATGCGGCGATAAATGCTTCGGTCGTCATGTCACTTACCAACTCTAAGTGTACGGCCTTGGTCGCAAAGCACACAAAAACGGCGACGTAAACCTTAATGCGTGCACGATTTCGCAACCGTCGTTCCTTTATGTAGAATGGACCACAATAGTCGACGCCGCTGTTGAAAAATGGACGATTTTCCGTCACACGCGATGCTGGAAGATTTCCCATGATGTAATCCGTAGACGGTGGGCGAAAACGAAAGCATCTGACGCATTGTCGGACGACCTTTCGTGTAGCATTCCTTCCATCGATGGGCCAATAGGCTTGCCGCACACTGTTCAGGGTGGAAGTGATGCCTTCGTGGTGATTCGCGCGATGCGTATCCCGAATTATGAGATCGGTGATGTGATGACCCTTTGGCAGAAGGATCGGATGCTTCCGTGCATAGGTAAGGGTCGAATTTTGTAGCCGACCTCCCACCCGAAGAATTCCCTGATCGTCGAGGAATGGATTCAGGGGAAGGAGTTTGCTGTTTGAAGGTAAATTGCCTTTGTTGCCTAATTGGCGGATCTCATCGGGAAATGCAGTTGCTTGTAGAAGCCGAATGAGGCAGCTGCTTGCTTCTTGCAGCTCTTCCACCGTCAAGGAACCCTTTCGGCGGTTACGTCGGCCGAATCGTAAAACGTACGCTGTAATGCGCCTTAGTTTTCTAATACACGAGTATCGTTGTAGTATTTCGTCGTCGTGTTTTGTAGTCGCAATCAGGCAGGTAATCTGTTTGAGTTCGGGCACCTCGTTCTGAATGAGGAACTTCGATGGTGGCCAATTCTCTTCGGATGTCGAGAGCCATTCGGGACCATGCAACCAGTTGGATCTTTGCTCGAATTGCCTGGGAGTCTGTCCTCGAGATAGTACATCCGCTGGATTGTCCTCCGAATTGATGTGTCGCCAGCTGGTGACCTCTGTCCTTTGCTGTATGTCGGATACCCGATTAGCCACAAAGGTTTTAAGTGTACATGGTTGCTTATTTATCCAGTTCAAAACGATCGTTGAATCGGTCCAAAGAATGGTTTTATCGATTTGATGGAGAATCGCTGCTCGAACTGTCGTGTACAAAACTGCTAACAACGCGGCACCGCACAATTCCAACCGCGCGAGAGTGATTGTCTTCAGTGGTGCAACCCGAGATTTCGCGCAGAGAAGGTTGGTTTCGACGTGACCGTTGTTGTCGATTGAACGCACGTAAATACACGCTCCGTATGCCCGCTCGCTAGCATCACAAAAACCGTGTAGCTCCACTTGTCGACTGTTGCGTTGAACTACATTCCTCACGAACGAAACGTTGTTTAGATGCTGCAATTGATTGAAGAAAGTAGTCCATTCAGTGTGGATGCTGGCTGGCAATGATTCGTCCCAATCAATATTGAGTTGCCACAAACGCTGCATGATGATCTTCGCTGTGATCACCACAGGACCGAGCAACCCGAGCGGATCGAAGATCTTTGCAATGGTTGACAAGATCGATCGCTTAGTGGGTTTTATCGCCGTCGGAGATTCAACGAAGTACGAAATGCTGTCGTTTCGAGCGTCCCAAGTAATACCGAGAGTCTTCATTACACTTGAATCGCCTAAAATCTTGGGATGAATCTGATCCTCGCCGAGTCCCGTGAGGAGTCGCGGTTCGTTAGAGGCCCATTGGCGTATGTTAAGGCCTCCACGTTGGAGCATACCGAGAATTTGGGTCTGCAACTCGTTCGCTTCCTCAATGGTATTGGCGCCCGTTAATAAATCGTCGACGTACATGTCCCGTTTGATGACGAGTGAGGCAATTGGAAACTCCATTTGTTCGTCGGTCGCTAATTGCTGCAAACATCTCGTAGCCAGATAGGGTGCCGAAGTCAACCCGAATGTGACGGTGTTTAACTCGTACGTCGCTATGCGGTTTCGCTGATCCCTCCACAAGATGCGCTGAAATGATCGGTCTTCTGGTCGCACGAGGAATTGACGATACATTTTCTCAATGTCGCCGGTGAGAACATACGCATACAGGCGAAATCGCAGCAGTAACGAAAAAAGATCATCTTGTAATGTCGGGCCCGTCATCAAAGCGTCGTTAAGTGACAGACCGCTACTCGACTTAGCTGAGCCGTCGAAAACCACACGAACCTTTGTTGTCGAGCTCGAGGGCTTTATGACCGCGTGATGAGGCAAGTAGAATCCTGGGGAGTCGAAGGACTCTACCTGCGTCATGTGACCGAGCGCGCGATATTCATCAAGGACCGCGGCGTAGTCGGCTTTTAAAGTTGGATTCCGATCAAGCTTCCGCTCTAATGAGAATAACCGATGGAGCGCGCGCGATCGCGATTCTCCAAGTCGCTGCTGCTGCTCATTGAAGGGAAGTGCCACGATGTAGCGTCCGGATGCGTCGCGTCGTACCTGATGGGAAAAATGTTCCTCGCATTCCCGTTCCTCCGAAGAGAGATGCTGTGCGTTTGATCCCTCTTCTACTTCCCAGAATCTCTTCATCTCGAACTCCAACGACGTTAGAAACGTGCTCCGTTTTGATTGTGGTGCGGCGATCGGCACACTCCCCCCGACAATCCATCCTAGTTGCGTCTTTTGAAGAACCAGATCCGATCCGTTAGGCTGAGACAAATCGATTTGTCCGATGCTGAGCGACGAAAGCGTCGTGCCGGTACCAATCAGCATGTCGATGGCCGCTGGTTGGTGAAAATTCGGATCCGCGAGTTTGATGTTTGATGGAATCGCGAGGTTCGAGCGGTCGATTGGGACGTTCGGCAGAGGACCTGAGATTTTCGAGATAATGTGAAACGTTAGAGTCCTTTGATAGGTTGATACTCGCGATCTGATTGTGGCTGAGACGAGTCTACTCGTGATTGTGTTCAACTCGTTGAGTGCTTCGATTGCTACGGATGTCTGCTTGCACGGTAAGCGCAGCCTCATAGCGATTTCTTCTGGGATGAAGTTCGCGTTCGAACAAGTGTCCATTAACGTGCGACATTGAACGAGTCGCCGGTCGCGGTCTAACACATGTATCTTCGCGGTTGCCAAGAGCCCGTTGCTTTGTCCTGTCGAGATCAGTGTCGTCCCTTGTCGTAAGGATCGTTTTGAATGCGTCGGCGCTAGTCAGATCTCGTCTGCTCGCGGTGCGGAATCTTGATGCAGCTTGGTATTGTGACGACCATCACACACGCGACATTTTCCAGATTTGCAGTCGTCTGCGGTGTGATCTGGACGGAGGCAATTCAGGCAAAACTTCGCTTTTCGTATCAACTGCACCCTTTCACCTGGAGTTGCGTCTATGAATTTGCGACATTGATACGCTGGATGGGCACCCGTGTTACAAATTCGACACTGTGCAGCGACGGTTGTCGCGAATGTGTAGCGCTTGCTGGTTCGCGGAGCCGGCGGTGGTGGTTTGCGTTGCATGACCCGATGTTCGGCCCGAGTTTTGCTGGGTTGCGCTTGAATCTCCCTTTCGTATGTACCGTGATTCGATGACTCGTCTTCCCTTGATTGATGCGACGCGTTTCGGAGATGCCTGAAGATGTCGGTGATTTTTGGCATCTTCGTGTCCCCAAGAGTTTGCTCCCAAGCCCGCCGAGTACCGACACCCATCTTCGAGATCGCGATGCTTGTGATTAAGTCGCTCGCGATATCCTCCCACGATCGCCCGAGAGCCTGTAGTGACCGAACGTGTGACTGCATGTGATTAACGAGATCACAAATTGACTCGGACGTGTCGTCACGCATCGCGGGCGTATCGCGCAGCAACGCGGCGTGTCGTAAGACTAGAGCGCGCGTGTTATCGTATGTTTCGATTAATTGATCCCACGCGGACTTGTAATTTTCTTCGCTTATCGTGAATGATTCGATCGCGGATTCTGCCTTCCCTGACAACGATAGACGTAAGTAATTGAGCCTTTGAATGTCACTGAGTCCCGGATGCGCGTGAATCATTGTCTGAAATGCGTCCTTGAACGCGACCCATTTCTCGAGACGCCCGTCGAATTTCGGAAGGTCGATTTTCGGCAAATGCACCCCGATCGCGGTCGATGAGGTTGGTGGTGCAGGAGAATCGCTCGGAATCCGGACTGTTGTCGCGGATGAATGCTGTGTCGTGGGTTGCTCAAGCTGTTCTAACAACGCTACTGCACTCGCCATTACGTCATCGTATTGGTCGGTGACAAATTCCCGCTCCGCTTCCGTTTCTTCGAAATCGTCGATGAGGCCTAATTCATCTTGTATATCATTGAATGACTCGAATTGTTTACGCGCTCTTTCAATTCTTTCGCGAAGCTTGACGCGTTCCTTCGCAGAATCTCCGAAAGTACTCAGATATTTTCCAAACGCCGTAATTTGTGCCTTGAACGTCCGCCGTTTATTTTTCATCGTCCGACTGCGTTGATTGACACTGCCTTCGTTCGCGGGTACGTTTTCGTTCGGCATTTCGTTTGTTATCGTGAGACGGACGAGATAGAGTGGATCGATAAAGGGAAATTGAAAGAAACTGATTGGTGATTCGTGTTTGAAACGAGCCTACCTTGACCGATGTCAGTGCTGGTGGAGTTGTCGTCGGCTCGGATGGCTGTCGTTGATCTCTGCCTCAGCTGCTTCCCGTCTGCTTGACCCTCGGACCGGTGGAGCCGTCGTTGGGTGGATCCAGTGCACAATCTCTTCTCACTATTTCGAATGTTTGTTCCACTCACTGTTAGACCAGGAATGTCCGTGTCCTTTAATGTCTCGTCTAGAGTGTCCACACGTCACTGATATCCAACTCGAAGGACCAAAACTTTGTCGCGACCCGACTGTGATCGCGACCTCGCCACTCGCGACCGCGCGTGATTTTTCCTGGGCTCGGGGTCGTCACTCCCCAGCTTCCTTTACTGATTCGCGGCCGTACTGCGACGCGTTATCTTAAACAAATTAATTTTAATTATAACTGGTTCAAATTTTGATGGTGAATGTCTCGCTCTGTTTAGACTGACTGCCACGGGCGATCGGGGCCCTGCCTTTTATAGGTGCTTCCCGATCGTCATTTTTTCCGTCGAGCCGGGTGCAAAAATCCTCGCACGCGCGTGCCGCGGAACATTCTCGATCCTTCGAGAACGGTATTCCGCGACACGTGTCCGCTATCGATTTTTGCACCCGGCCCGATTCCTACAATCGGTTGGGGACGGCCCGACTTCTGGAATATTCGTTCGCGTCGGCCGGAACATGGAGTTTAATATATAATACGTAATACCTAAAAATACATGAAAGTACATAAAAGTGATGGAAAAAAATAAATGGTATATGATACTTATTATAATAATGCGCAAGCCTTAAGTACTACCGCGTAATTTGAAATCGCTCGGGAAAACGTACGTGTCTACCTGAACGCGTGACACGTTGCTGTATAACCGGCGCATTGTCAGGTACGTTTGTTTGTGTGACCGGCTGATTTTCTATGCTCACGGGATCCGGTCTGTTTTCTGCTAGCATATAAGCAGGCTTTAGCCTTTCAATTGATATATTTATTTCCTTACCTCTAATGTTTATTGTAAATGTTTTTTCGCCTCGGCGCACTACGGCGTATGGACCTTCATAAGCGGGTTGTAAAATAGTTTTGGCTGAATCTGTTCGGATGAAAACATGTGTTGAACTGCTAAGATCTTTGAAAACGAATGTACGATTAACGGAATGGCGTGAAGCATTAGAGGGACTCAATTTAGAAAAATGGTTGCGTAGTCTATTAGTAAAATCGGAAGCATTTTCTGTGCCTTCCGCTGAATGCGAAGACAAGAACTCTCCCGGTAATCTTAATGGCTCGCCATAAACTAATTCCGCTGAGGTAGCGCCGAGGTCTTCTTTCCAGGCGGAACGAATACCGAGTAGAACCGTCGGAAGTATTTCTGTCCACTTGTCGGATCCGTGGCACCTTATAGCCGACTTGAGCTGTCGGTGAAAACGCTCTACCATCCCATTGGCCGCTGGGTGATACGCCGTTGTGCGAAGGCGTGTGGATCCAATTAAATTGTTCAGCGCAAAAAATAATTTGGATTCGAATTGCCTACCCTGATCGGTGGTAATCCGTACGGGAGCACCAAACCGCGCTACCCAACCGTCATAAAAGGTTCGAGCTACGGTTTGGGCCTCCTGATCGACCATGGGGAAGGCTTCCGGCCACCGCGTATATCTGTCTACACAGGTCAGACAATACCTGAAACCTTCGGACACCGGTAAAATTACTATGTCTAAATGAATGTGTTCGAATCGCGCAGAAGGTTTAACAAATGTAGCCAATGGTGCAGTCACATGACGGGAAATTTTTGATCTTTGGCACGGTATACAGCAACGTGTCCACGTGCGAACATCTCTTTTAATCGACGGCCAAACATAACGTTGCGTTATGAGCTTGATCGTCGCGTTAATACCTGGATGTGATAATACATGTAACATATTAAAAACTGCGCGTCGGAAAGGAGGGGTGACATAAGGTCTTACATTCTTAGTCGAAATATCGCAAAAAATTTCGGAAGACGTGCCAGGCAACGAGACTTTGCGTAATCGCAGGCTAGATTCGCTATTCAACAACCGCTGCAACTCCTCATCCTGGGCTTGCGATTTTGCCAATTCTTCGAAATTAATCGAGTGGTTAACCGTTTCCACTCTGGACAGTGCATCGGCAACGACGTTGTCTTTACCGGAAATATGTTGAATATCTGTAGAGAATTGCGCAATGTAATCTAGGTATCGGAATTGTCGAGGAGAGCATTTATCTAATTTCTGTTTGAAAGCGAAAGTTATGGGTTTATGGTCTGTAAAAATCGTGAAATGTCTGCCTTCGAGCATATGTTTGAAATGTTTTATTGCTAAATAGATAGAAAGTAGTTCTCGGTCGTAAGCTGAATACTTCTTTTCGGCAGATCCTAATTTCTTAGAAAAGAATGCTAATGGTTGTCGTTCGTTGCCGACGCACTGATGTAAAACAGCTCCTACGGTGTAATCAGAAGCATCGCAGGTAACCGACAATGGAGCGTTGACCGCAGGATGAGAAAGCAGGGTTGCGTTTGCTAAACTATTTTTGGTATTTTCGAAAGCCTGACGCGCTTCCGAAGTCCAGGCTATCGAGGTCTTGCCCTTTAAATTGCCGGCTAGAAGGTCGTTCAAGGGTGCTTGAAAGCGAGCGGCATTTGGGATAAAACGGCGGTAAAAATTAAGCATTCCCAAGTACTGCCTCAAATCCTTCGCGTTTTTCGGAAGGGGAAATGACTTTATGGCTTGTACCTTGCCGGGCAAAGGTTGAGTGCCGCTTTCATTTACCCGATAGCCTAGAAATTTAACTTCTTCCTGTCCGAACGTGCATTTATTCGGATTAACAACAATGCCATAATCTTTTAATCGTTTAAATAATAATTCTAAATGGCGCAGGTGATCGGCTTGGGATTCTGAGGCGACCAAAATGTCGTCTATATACGCGTAACAAAAATCGAAACCGCGTAAAATTTCGTCGATAAAGCGCTGAAATGTTTGCGCGGCATTTCGTAACCCGAACGACATGTACGGGAATTCAAAAAGCCCAAACGGCGTTGTAATGGCCGTTTTTCCGACGTCTTCCGATGCAACCGGAATCTGATTATAAGCTCGGACGAGATCTATTGTGGAAAATACCTTTTTGCCACTCAGTTGTTGCGCAAAATCCTCAATGTGACGCACGGGGTATCGGTCGGGAATTGTCCGTGCGTTTAACGCTCTATAGTCACCGCAAGGCCTCCAAGCTTCTTCGCCCTTCTTCGGAACCATATGAAGGGGTGCTGACCACGCGCTCTTCGAAGGACAAGCGATGCCCATCTTCACCATCGCGTCGAACTCCTTCTGGGCAGCCCTGAGCCGGTCCGGTGCAAGCCGCCGCGGCTTGCTGGAAACGGGTGGTCCAGGGGTTGTCTCGATGTAATGCACCGTTTGGTGCGTAGTCCTCATCGGGGTGCCGCTAGGCCGTGTAAGTTCCGGCATCTGCATCAGGAGCTGGTGGTAAACGGTAGTCCCTGCTACTGTCTTCACCGACGGCGTTTCATCCTCGGCTCGTGTTCCGCGGACCGTTAACGACGTGGTCCGATCGACGAGGCGACGATTGCGGATGTCCACCATAAGATCGAAGTGATCGAGAAAGTCTACCCCGATTATGGGTTTTGTAACATCCGCAACCACGAATCGCCACACGAAATCCCGTCGTAGGCCGAGGTGCAGGTTTAACGACACTGTTCCGTAGGTGTTAATTACACTCCCATTCGCCGCCGCCAGCTGGTACTCCGATCTTTCTCGCAATCCGCCTAGCAGGCGGCGCGGAAAAACGCACAAATCGGCCCCGGTATCCACTAAAAATTCCGTCTTCGAGCTGTTGTCTAAGATGAAGAGGCGGCGTGATGCTGGATTTGTGTCGCTGGCCGCCATCAACGACTCCCCAGGTCGTTTTCCTGATCCGTGGCGTTCCTATTGCACGGTGCAACGCACCTCTGCGCGGCCGGACCGAACCGCCAATGGTACCAGCATTTCCCTTGATGGTCCATTTGTCCTCCCGCGGGCCGCTCTCGCGATCGCGATAGAGATCGTCTGCGGTAGCGCGAGTTTGGATGATTTCGGTGGGTCCACCTGCGACGGGAAGATTGCCCCTGGTCCACCAAGGATTCACGGATGGCAGAAATTTCCTGCCTCAAGGAAAGAGCCAATTGCGACATCTTAATGTTTAACATGGCCTCGATGCTCGGGCCCGGCGGGGGTATTTGGCAGGATGCAGATACGCCCGTAGTCGCGGCCTCCGTGACGTGTACCCGCGGTGTCATCGTATCCGCGACAGCGTCTGCCAACTCTGCTACCTTATCCAGCGGGGTGTCCCGCTGCGTGGATAAAATCACCTGCATATTAGCAGGTAGCCGGCCCATCCAAAGCGTCCGCAATACACCGTCCGAAAAAGCCGTACCGGCCAATCCGCGCAGGTGACGAAGAAATTGGGACGGTTTTCTGTCCCCGATTTCCTCGTGTTCCAATAACCGTCGCGTTTTCTGTTCCTGCGAAGCACTAAGCCGGCGAATAAACTCATTTTTGAGCGTCGTGTACGGATCCGTGGCCGGAGGATTCATGATAATGTCTCTTACTTCCGCGGCGTGTCGCGCACTTAACGCGCCGAGAATGTACCCGAATTTCGTGGTCTCCGACGTTACATTGGATACCTCAAAACTTCTCTCTACCATCGAAAACCACATCTCCGGGTCTCCCGGACAAAACTCGGGTATTCGTACAGCGACGCGATCAACTGCCAACGGCACACTCCCGGATGTCCCGCGTTAACGGTAGGGTCAGTCATTTTACCAGTCTTGGTCACAAAAGATTAATTTCACCGCACACACACACCGCGCCTACTATTTGTCAGACCGTGTCCTTTCCTTATGTTCTTAACACTATACACTTAT